TTTCACGAGCATTTCACCATCACAACGCGTCAGTGCTGACGCACCCAGAGGACATACAGTGTTTGGACGGTACCCGTCATCCGTCGAACGCTTGCTCGCGTATTCTCCATTGCGGGAACACAGTTCGTGACTGGGAGGCTTTTTTCTGTTGTCTCGAGGGGTGATCAACCCCCGGCGTATTCACGTGGAAAAATAACCCTTACCCACCTTTGTATCCTCCCCTCGGTGTTTGCCATCGGGGTTGGGCTTTCGTCGCTTGGCAAAGACGTTGTAATCAAGCCACTTCACTTCGTGAACTCGGCAACCAGGTTACCGTTGGGTTTTTTTTCCCTCCGTTTATTTTTTTTGGGCGGTAACCATAATGATGGTTGAGTAGATCATGTTGTGCGGGGTGAACCCTCACTCCGCGCAAGGGGGATGATCGCACCACGTTGTGTTAAAATGGTCAAGCACCCTCGAGGCAGTTACACAGTGCTTACAACTGTCTCTGGAAGTGAAGCACCAGAAAATATATTAAGGCATACGCAGCTGTCATCCGATACGCAAGGAAGTAAGCACAAGATGCCGAACACCCTTAGCAGGATGCAGCGCACCCTTCATGCGACTCGCCGAATATCTCACGGCGCTTCGCGCTTGGTGATGTGAGAGCCTGGTCCGGTGAGAACCCGGCGTGCTCCGTCCCGGCTTTGTAGGGATGCAAGGTCAATGGTCTAACGACTACGGCATGCACGACTTGAGTACACCCCTCCACCCGCCCCCTCCCACTTTTTTATTTACCCTCGGGGGAGCACAATTTAAGAGGTTAAGTCTATCCGGTACGGCACCGTCGACTACGGTAACACAACTATTGTGAATCAATTTTCCGGCACATACGAAACCCCAAGACGGCAGGATATATCGTTGGAATGGTCTACCACTTTACTGCCAACACACGTTAGCGAACGCAATCCTCTGAAGCCATAAACCCGGTGTAACAGAACCCAGCCTAGAGTACCACCCCTCACTCAAAGTGCGAGCACGAAATTCTCCTGAAAACCTCACTTTTCGGCCTCAAACTTCAAGACATTCAATATGCGAGATATCCAAGGCCGATAATAGCACAAACCACCAGTCGGCTGGCATGGCATTTAAGTCGCACACAGCGCAATACACAGCGACGTATTCCATATTCGTTTCGTACTTCAAGAACTGTCGCAAGCTTCCCAGTATAGGCGCAATTATCCTCACCTTGCACATCAAGCCCCGGGCAGCAGTGATCTTTCTCGACGCGCCCTTGCCCTTGCCCTTGCCCTTGCCGTCACCTTGTCGTACTTCACATGGGCCCGGTCCAGTTCGCAAGTTCTACTCCGCCTCTCGCTCACGGCGTATCCCCACTTGCTTAGTTGGACGACTGGGTACACGCCGACGTCTTTTGCCTCCGCCACCATCCCCAACAACAACGTTTCTTCGACTTCCGACAAGAACGCTTTAGCTCGGGCTTGCGAGATACACGCGGTCAAACCCGCGTGCGGACATCCGTTGATGCCGTTGAAAAAGATAGGCGTCGCGTTCACCACCGTGTTCTTGTCAAGCGCCTCCAACGACGCAGCGGCGTGCTCGCAAATGCCCCCCGTAGCACTCTGAACGCCAGCGTTGGCCCCCGCTGTTCGGCTAACCGATCGCTGACGAAGACGCATCCTGAGAAACGAACAAGACCAGTAAGCATACGACGGCAATTCAGCAACGACGACAATTCAGCAACACCGTGGACAAAAGGAAACCCATCTGAAAACAGCCATATTCGGGCCGGCCAATACTTCAAGGAGCTTCGACCTGGTGCACCGTGCACCATCTCGCATGACCCCACCAACAACAAATAATAGCAAGAGAACACACCCTATTTGACATGGCTAACCGGTTACACCCTGTATCTCATGGTTCGCTCACGTGGGGCACTCTAACCTAGAGCAGCTGCTCCGCGGTGAAGGCTTCGGGTTCGTCGATGTTGGCGCAGGATATTGTAGCACCGTCGTCACTACCCCGTTTTGGTTTGCAGCGATGCATACCGACAGCGTGGTGTTTACAGCATTATCCGCTGCAGGCAAGCGAATCACGCTTACGGGTACATGCCGCGGAGCTCCTCGTCCCCTACCGCCCCCTCATCCGGCGACCAAACCTGTACCCCTTGATGCCCGGTTGGCTGGTGGCACCGCCCGTGTTTTCCGTGAGCAGCTGGTTAGATGGAACGGCGCAACGGTGACAATTGTAGGCAATTGGGAGGTCGGATTTACTTTCGAGACACACATTGCGAGCGAGAGGCCTACATAGGTAACGTATCCTGTGCCCGGGTTTGCGAGGGTTTTGGGGTTCGAATCCAAAACCTCAATCTTCATCTCTAGGTCGCGGCGAAAACATGACGCAAGAAGGGAGGACCGATCTGCTCGAAAGAGGGAGACGACATGTGACACAAAAAAGGAACAGGCTCACCTTTTGCACTCGCAACACGTCTTGATGCTTTTGTGTCACTCGCAGCACTTCTGTTGGAGATCCTTGTTGAAACCGTGGTAGCAGCGCGCCCTGCACGCCCATCGCGGGCACCTATCCTCCAGGCAGAGCCTCTTTTTCTGGTTTCCGTATGAAGGCAATGCACCACACGCGGAGCACCGGCGGTTTAGTGTGGTCCTTGTCCGCGCAGGTCTGCCGACTCCTCTGCCACCGCTGGCATTAAGGGCACCAACTCCCGATCCTGGTGAGGGTTGCACACCGCCTCTCCCGCGGCCGCTCGCTGCTGCAGCGGGACCAGCCCGCCCTGCTTGGCTACCGCCCCGCCCAGGACGTTGGTCGCCGACGCCGGCACCACCACCTCTACCACCGCTAAGAGTTTGACTATCGCCCGCCCAGGACGATGACCACCGACACCGGCACCGCTACCTCTACCACCGCTCAGAGTGCGCGCAGGCCTGCAACCTCCACTGCCGCCGTTGGCGTTAAGGGTGCCAACTCCCGTTCCTGGTGAGGGTTGCACACCGCCCCGCACAGGGACTCGGCCGCCGACACCACCCCTCGCGCGGCCGCTCACTGCAGCAGCGGGACCAGCCCCCCCTGCTTGGATACCGCCCCACCCAAGAACGTGACCACCGACGCTGACGCCGACACCACTGCCTCTACCACCGCTCAGAGCGCACACAGCAGACCCACTTTCTTGAATGCCACCCCCCACAGGACCTGGACCCCAAGCTGCGCAAGATAGCGCAGACAGCGTGTCCTGCTGCATGAGTCCCACACCGCTCGCTGTTGTTCTTGGAGCAGGCAGAGGAGGTGCTGATGCTTCACTGGATCCTGGCTGCTGTACTAAACTGGCAGTGCTAGGTAGTTCGGTGCTACGGTGGTTGACCGTCCCTCCTTGCACGAGTCCCACACCGCTCGCTGTTGTTCTTGGAGCAGGCAGAGGAGTTGCTGATGCTTCGCTGGATCCTGGCTGCTGTGCTACATTGGTCAGAGTGTCACACACAAGTTCGGCGCTACGGTGGTGGACCATCCCTCCTTGCACGAGTCCCACACCGCTCGCTGTTGTTCTTGGAGAGGGCAGAGGAGGTGCTGACGCTTCACTGGGTCCTGGCTGCTGTAAACTGGCAGTGCTAGACACAAGTTCGGCGCTACGGTGGTTGACCGTCCCTCCTTGCACGGGTCCCACACCGCGCGCTGTTGTTCTTGGAGCAGACAGAGGAGTTGCTGATGCTTCACTGGATCCTGGCTGCTGTGCTACATTGGAAGTGCTAGACGCAAGTTCGGCGCTACGGTGGTGGACCATCCCTCCTTGCACGAGTCCCACACCGCTCGCTGTTGTTCTTGGAGCAGACAGAGGAGTTGCTGATGCTTCACTGGATCCTGGCTGCTGTGCTACATTGGAAGTGCTAGACGCAAGTTCGGCGCTACGGTGGTTTCTATGCATCGGCGGCGTAGAGCACTCCGGTACTCCTGTGTGTCTTGTGTGTTCGAGCGTAGAGCATGCGAACACAGGAACAGTCCCGTGTGCCGTCGGCCTTCAGGGGCGTCGGTGATTGGCTAGAGTAGCGGCGGGTATTAAGAACCACCCGGG